TAAATACCAAAGTATAATTAATAAAAATCTAGAACATTCATTTCTTTCTTTCAACAAAATCTCTCTCTCTCTCTCTCTCTCTCTCTCGCAGCTCTGACTTTTGCTCTCTGATTTCACAGCTCAATTCCTCCACTAATCTTCAAAATTTTGTATTGATTCTTCATAATCTCACTCTGTTTTTCCATTAGGTATAATCACAATAGAAACCCTAATAGTCAATATTATGTTAGTACATTGTTTCTTTTTTGTTGTTAACTTGACGAATGAATAGAATTTTCGTGCAACTAAGATACAAGACACTAAGAAGTTTATAAGTGGCAATCAAAAGAGAAGGCTAAAGAAAAAAAGCATTTACAGTTGGAAATGGCAGCAAAATACACGCGCACTCATGTTTATCACTTAAACAGAGTTATGATAAACCTGATCCGAAGCTCTCACCTAATGTGAGGATCATAAGTAAGAAATAACACAGGATCTGGAACAACTAGAGGCAACCTATCTATGTACATGAATAGTCTCTTTCGGTTTTCTCTCAGAATTGACGATAATTCAACAACATCGGATTTACCCATGTAGATCCAGAGGTCCCCGGAGTTGACCCTCTTCAGACCATCACGACAAAAGGGGCACGACTGTGACCGTTCATGCCTGAAGTCAACATGCCATCAGCTTATTACTTACATGTTAGGATAGGATAAAGAAGAAGTGAATCTATATAGAACGCAAACACGAGCAGCATTAAGCCAAATTTGTGTCATCATAATAACAAGTACTCTAACGAGAAAGATAAAAGCAGCTTACCAATCTCGATAACATGTCAAACACAAAGAATGGCTGCAGTTCGGCAGTACAACCATACTGTTAATCTCCATGCAAATTCCACACTCTTCTTCTCTTTCTTTATCGATCTCGGAGAGTTTACCTCTTTCCAACTCGTCCTTCTTTCTGTACCTAACAGAACAGACCTCTTTCTGTTTCTTATCTTCCAAATCTGTGATGCCACGCTGAACTTGCAATAGTGAAGGAAATATCACACCTGTTTATCGAAATCCAATATCAGATAAGCATAATCGTGACTCGTTACTCTGAAATTGCCTTTTTTCCCATCTAAATGCAGTAACAAGCTAGATACATATCCGGGGACCAAAGAAGTTTCATTTCTTCTCGAGTCTTAACTCACCATAAAATTCTCTAATGCTAGCTTTCCTTTCATAAACTGACATGGTGGTCTTGCCATCCGGAAAAGTCTGCACCAGTCAACTGTATTAGTAATTGAAGCCAAAATGAAGTTACAGGCATAGAAGAAGCAAGAAGAGAGAAGCTAAAATACTCGGATACACAAACAGAGAAATCAGGCCAAACAAGAAAATTTGAGCTGAGAATGAACATACCATATAAATAAGTATTCTTAGAAGACCAAGAGCGCCAGCAAGGTGACAATCGGTCCACTGTACAAGAAAGAGGAAAAACTGGGCAGCAGGACTGTAGGAAAGTCTCATCTGAAGTCTAGCTCCATCATTCTCTCTTGGATAATCTAATGCACTGTAACAAGAAGAGGGAACGGCCAGAGAAGAACCCGATTAATGACCATCAAGCAACAATTTAACATCTCTGAGTTGTATGGATCATTAATTGTGTAAATAAACACGTCCATTTCGGGTTTTTATTCGAATAACAGTGTAAGTCATTTGTTTCTCCTATTAGTTAAGGCCATTGAGGAGCCACTAGCAGAATGAAATCAACTTTATCAACTTTTATCACGCATCGTGTTTACTGATTAAGCACCACCGAATTGCTCAAATCCAATTTCCTTCAAGTAATTAAAAATGTAACATTAACCATCAAATATCCAGGGAAATTTTGTCTCAAACAGAGGAATCAAAGCCACATTTTGTGCAAAACATCCTGCCAAACTACCAATAAACGTATTCACACAACATCAAACAGAAACCGAAGACCATCAACAAGCGCCTTCACACGCATACAGACACACATTTACTGGACACATGATTAACATCCAATGAAAAACGTTTCAAGCTTTGAAAAGTCAGTTGAAACTTTGAAGTGTTTCAACAAAGAGTCCTAGAATTTTTCTTTCAAAAAGATTACCCCAGTGAAAAATCAGCTATAGCAAGCCAAATAGACCACATATACATCAAGCCTACACTAACTTTCACACGAAAAAGCAACCCCTTTTTTCTCTCACCAGGACAAGCTCTTTTAACACCAAGCTAAAAAATCAAAGTAAATCATTGGAGACGAAGGGTAAAAATGAAAAAAAGAACGACAAAATTTTCAGTTCTATGAACAATAAATAATTAAACTTATTAAGACTCTCCGGAAGTACTTTCCTTGCATCCGATACACTCACCTTTGTACTTTCATTATCACTCCAGAAAAAAAAAATTAAATTCAAGCCAAAGAGAACCTAAAGGAATCAAAATAAAAAAACATAAACTATCAAGTAGCAGAATTAGCACTAAGAATCAAACAATATGCTTCCTTTGTGCTCAAACGACTCATCAAAAGAAATGCCCACCAAAAGAAAAAATCTAACTTCTGTATTCTATTTGGCAAGAAAATCAGGGGGGAAAGAAAAAAAAAAAGCTTTTTTTAAGAAACAGAGGATAAAAAGAGAAAAGCCTTACAGAGTATTAGCATGTTGAATATCGGCTTCGAGCGCCTTAAGAGAATCCTTGAATGACGATTTTCCCATGGCCGTGTACCTTCCCGGAAACGAATTCCCATCAAACGAACAGAAAATCAGAAAAAATTAACACAGAGACACTCGTAATCTCCAGCTCTATATACCCAATTCAGCAATCAAAAAGCTCCGCAAAAGACAATGGTATTTTTGTAATTTTTCAGCGCCCACGATGAACCCAGAAGCCCCAACCACCTTCCCAATGATACTATCAGCTTTCCTTTCGAGTAATTAAGGAAAAGACGGGAGGTGGTCCGATAATTACGAAATTGCCATCACTGGACTACAATGGCAAAAAAATCGAAGTTGTTATCTTCTAAACGGGTTTAGATCCTCTGTTTCGAACTCCTCGCTCGAAAACGATTTTACACCAACCGCGTGGCTCCGCGTACGATCAAACGACTCGAATCCTAAGAATAAACGGAGAGAGATGACGGTTGCTGAGTCATGCTGACCTATCTTCCCGACCAGTAAAACTTCTGGCGATGAAGTGGCGAATAACTATTGGTAACAAAAAAGAAGGCATACTGTTGGTGTTTGTATAGAAAACAAAAACCTGCTGGCGCCGCCGCATGTTTTATAAACCGGCTGCTCGGTTAGTGGAAAGACAATAATGCCCTCAGCGTGGCGTCACGTTCGATATTTTGCAGACCGGCGGACCCCACGCTGCCTAAGATATTTCGGCTTTGTTCCTTAAAAAAAAAAAGATTTTTGCCTTTTTTTTTTTTGTTTTAAGGTAATTCTAATTTCTAAATTTGTTGATTAAACAAATATTAATTAACTTAGCTTAGGCTGTTGATCGGATAAGGAACAAAAATCAATTGCCTATTCTAATCCTCGGTTAGTCAATGTGCTAATTGAAAAAGATAAAATAAAAAAATATAAGACGTCATTATCTAATAACTTTTTTTTAAAAAATAATTGTGATTAAGAGATAAATCCAGTTGTTAATTAAAAAATAAATTAGATTTATGTGTGACACTAATGTTTAATAAAACCAATATGAGATGAATTTGAGTTTTAACTTGAATTCAGAGATTACCGTAGTTATCATAATCAAATTAGATTTGTGAGCCTAATTAATTTGGTTATGAAAATTGGCGATTATAATTAAATCATTTAAATAATATAATTAGTTAATTTTTTAAAGCTACTTATAATTTAATAATTCGTCCGGTTTAAACAATTATTAACAAAATTCCTAGATTAATTAAGTAGGTTACCGCGTTGTGATTTTTTTTTTTTTTTTTTTGTTGTGATGTTGATGATTAGTAATTTAATCATGATCTTATGCAGTGCTAAACCTTATTGTAATTTTTTCATGATGATCTCTAATAATCAATCACTTATTGATCTTCATTGCTTAATAAATTTTCTATTAAGTATGATAATACTAACACATTTTGTAATATCCTTAATTAATTTTAATATATTTAAAATTAATGTATAAATATAATTTTTAAATTTTTAAATTTTTATTTAGTGTAAAAATGAAGAAAAATAAGTAGATGAAGAAATTAAAAATAATTTTGAAAAGATATGTGAAAAGTTGGATTATGGGGGTATTTTTGAAAAAAAAAATCGAAAACTGAAGGTTAAAACTTAACTTAGAAAAATTGTGCTACGTAGGATGCCCAGTCAGCAGCCTCGATGAATCGGAGCGCGTTGTGTGGTAAGACACGATGACACAATGCCACGTGGGAGGCCACGCTGACCATTCCCGTGCCCGCAATCGGACGGTTCGGATCGGTTCCTCCTTTAAACGGGATCGGACGACTCATATCAAATCGGGATAAATGGTCCAGATCCACTTCCTATTTAAATGCAATCAGACTGTCTAGATCAAATCGCGATGAACAGTTCAGATTCACTTCCTATGTAAACGTGATCAGACGGTTCAGATCAAACGCGATGAACAACCCAGATTAAAAGAAGACAAATATAAATAACTCTCTTCACATTAAACCTTAACCCTAGCAGCCAGACCCCCCCGCCGGAGACGAAGAGCTAGTCGCCGGGAAGGGAGTCGACTGTCGCCTGGCCCCGCGTTGGAGCCACTTCCAACCGCCAAAAGAGGTAAAAAAATTGCTCCATTTGCTCGAAATTTTATTTTGAACACCTCCATGGCCAAATCGGAGTAAAATGACCAGTGGATAAGCCGAAAACCGCGTGCAAATCTCGGTGGCGGCTTTGCAGCGTGAAAAAGCAAAAAATCACCTTCGATGAGACCCTTCACGATTCTCGTTTCGTATAATTTTTTCACTATTGTATTCACCATTCTTTTCTCTACAGGTTAACCGAAGTAAAACACCCAACTACGAAGGTGAGCCGGCAGAGCCGCTGCACCGAAAAACTCCGCTGCCGATAAGCTTCAGTTTTTCAACTTTTTTCGGCCAACCGAGACCCTTTAACGTATTTTTTTGCAGAGATTGGTATAAAACTGGTCGAAAACGGCCAACCCGAAGCAAATTGCCGCCGCGGATGGCACTGTCGTTAGAGCACAGTGGAGCCACCGTGCCGGATTTTCAGAATTTGACCAAAAATATTTCTAACATTGATTTTGGATTTTTTGGTGTATTTATAGGTACTTGGAGTGTGTTTTAATCCCCGAAGAAAAATTTAGGGAACCCAAAGACCGCCAATAGGCGCAGCTAAAAGTTTAGCATTCGGACATCAATTCGAATAAGAATCCCTCACCTTATTCCATGTTATGGAATTGAAGTTTAATTAATAATAATACGATATTTTGTGTAGTTTAGAAAATATCCATAATTAATTACAGGTCACTAATAGAGTCGGTACCGCTTATTTATTACTGTTTGTCGTGTTTAGCTGATTAGTTGATTTTATAGTTTTGAATGCATGATAATATATTGGAATTGGTATGATAACTCAATTGTGTTTCTTGATGCATGTATTGCTTGTTTTACGCAATTTGTAGTTAATTGGAAAACTAAAAATTAAAGGTAAACGAGAAATTGTTTGATTAAGTGAATGGATGAACGCAACCTTACTGGATATCCTGAGAGATGGTGGATGGACCGAGTATATAGAAAATCCTACTGTGAACGTTGTCTCATACCGGACAGGGTATCAAGGATTAGTATTTTGGCGCTCATATCGAACGGGGTATGGGGAAGACCCGTTTCATCCTCATGCCGGACAGGGTATAAAGGGATGATATTTTGGCGCTCATACCGGACGGGGTATGGGGACGGCTCGTTAATTAAAAATATTAAAAAAGGGTTCATGTTACGGTAAGTTGTTGTTTCCGACTAATTGTATATGAGATTATGATATTATTTATGCTATTGATCCTATATGTTGGTTTTGGAAATCTCGCTGCTGTAAGTATGCAGTAAATGATTTTATTTATGATAAATGAATTTACTTAAATTAAGAGCTCTATTAGTTATTTTCATAGTTTTTACCAACCTTCATTTCTGTGTCGGTGAGTAGCGTGATATTCTTACTGGGCTAGTATAGCTAACTCTTTCATTAACCATTTCAGATCAAGAGAACCAAAACTTAGAGTCTAATCCACAATAGGGTTGCGAGTAGGATGCCCACTTGTTTATTTTTCATTTATTTTTTTGATTTTTCGTTATTTCTTTTAAAATGGTAATTTCTGTAACCCTATTGGATAATTTGAATTATTGTGTAAGGAATGTAAACTCAAACTATTTATTTCACGTCCGCATTCAATTCATAATTTATTTCTTTTCAAGTTCACGGGTCGTTATAGTTGGTATCATAGCTGCGTTGTTCATAGATCTTTGGGTTTCGATTACCAAGGAATAGAGACTTTACAAATAAAGCCCGAGGATTGGCATTCCATTGCTGTAATTTTATATGTATAAAGTTACAATTATCTACGTTCCCAATGCACCTATGTTGTGGCACCAGACGGACTCTTAACCAGCGTGTATCATCTTATGAGAATAGAATATGGCGTAAATCAATTAGAAGAAGTATGCATAAAAGTATTTGCTCCTATGAGCAATCCTAGAATTCCATCTATTTTTTGGGTTTGGAAGAGTGCAGATTTTCAAGAACGGGAATCTTATGATATGTTAGGAATCTCTTATGATAATCATCCACGACTGAAATGTATCTTAATGCCCGAAAATTGGATAAAGTGGCATTTACGTAAAGATTATATTCCTCAAAACCATTCCTTACACAAAATTCTTACAAAACACCAAATATGAACTATCATCCAACCATTCTTTGTAAAAAATAAGTACAAATACACAAGGAGATGAAGTCCCATACTGAATAGAGCAACCCGAGATGGGTCACTTCGAGAGGATGTCGATCGGCTCTTCGAGATTTAAAAGAGACTTATCTCTGCCAAGTGGACCAGGAAAGTGAGGAGGGAACTGTTTGACCCTCCACCACTTTAACACTATGAGCCACCCCTAACAACGAGAGGATTTAATGCCACCTCGATACAATCCTGCCCCTCTGTCGTATCATTCGACACTGTGTTTCTCTTTGGAGTGCTGGAGTCCCATTTGCAAGGAAGGGGAGATGGGACATTAAGGTTATGTATTGATTACAGGGGACTAAATAGAGTCACAATCAAGAACAATTACCCCTACAGGATCGATGACATTTTTGATCAGTTGCAGGATGCCTAAGTCTTCTCCAAAATAGATATGTGTTTAGGTTACCATTAGGTAAATATTAAGGCAGAAGACATTCCCAAAACAGCTTTTCGAATCAGGTACAGACACTATGAGTTCCCAGTCATGCCGTTTGGACTAACCAACGCACCAGCCATCTTCATGGATTTGATGAACAGGGTTTTCAGACAATTCCTGGATCAGTTTGTTATTATATTTATCGATGATATCCTGCTCTATTCAAAAAGTAGAGAGGAACACGCTCACCATCTGACTCAGGTTTTGCAGGTTTTCAGAGAAAAGAAGTTGTGTGCAAAGTTGAGTAAGTGTGGATTCTAACTCGAGCAAACTACATTCCTAGAGCACATCATATCAAATGATTGAGTGTCAGTAAACCCTGAAAAAGTTGAGGCAGTGCTCAATTGGGAAAGATCAATATCAGTCATGGAGATTCGTAGTATTCTGGGAATGACAGGTAATTACCACAGGTTCGTAGAAGAATTTTCTAGCCTACCTGCTCCTCTAACTCTGCTCACAAAAAAGAACATCAAGTTTGAGTGGAACAAGAACTCTGGAATGAGTTTTTAAAAACTAAAGAAATGATTGACTACTGCACCTGTGTTGGCCTTGCCGAACGGGTCGGGTAGATATACAGTTTATAGTGATGCCTCCTACTTAGGGTTGGGTTGTGTTCTAATGCAGCATGGGAAGGTCATAGCCTATGGGTACAGATAATCGAAAAGTCATGAGAAAAACTACCACACTCATGACTTAGAACTTATTGCGATTATCCACGCCTTAAAGACTTAACGCCATTACTTATATGGGGAGACCTTTCAGATATATACCGACATAAGAGCTTGAAACACATATTCACTCAAAAAGATCTCAACATG